AGGTATGGTTTATATAGTCATGACATTCTCCCCGCCTTGGAATAAGTGTGTACCTTACGGAGAGTGTAAAAAATATTAAAAAGCTGTAGTAGTTACGCGGAGTCGTTTACGCCTCTGTTGCGTAGATTATACGGGTGAGTGCGCTGTTGTCAAGTGAGAATGTCCAAGTGATTTCCTGGATCCGCACTAGAACGGGATGATGAAGCATCGTTAATAGGCATGAGTTCAGTCTCTGAGGAATCACGGTGGACTGTTGGTGTTGCGTGAGGCTCCTTTTGTTCGGCGATATGTACTGGTTCCAGTTCTGTGTCGGGTATCATGTCGTTGCCTTTAGGAGCCACGCGGCGTAGGGATACAATTTCGTGTTTGCCATCTGGACGAACTATGTGGGTGTACTGTGGATTACGAGAGACAAGTGCCATTCCCTCTACCAGAGGGTCATATTTAAAGACTCGATCATTGCGTTTTAAAAGGATCAGCCAAGGGACAGTAAGCCAGGTAGGTAGGGAGACTCCATTGGCGTATCGTTATGTGAACAGCATGACTGTACAGCGGTGTGACTAATGTCAACGCCTTTATCGAACCAGAATTGTTTGAGTTCAATTGACATGAACGCAGAACCGCGATCTGAGTGAATGTAAGCAGGCATACTCAAATAACGAATCACAGTGGAACAGGACTTATCGACTTAAGGATAGGCAAAAGGGAGTTGAGAATACTCGTCAATTATTGTTAAGAGGTACTTGTTACGAGTGTTTGAGGGAAGTGGTCCTTTAAAGTGTATACTGAAGCGTCCAAACGGTTGTGTGGCTTTGATAAGCTGGCCACGAAGTGTTACAAAATTTTAGTTTGCTTTCGGAGCATGTGGACCAGTTGGACACCACACGTCGGATATCGCTAACTGAGAAAGGAAGGTTCTTAGAACAAACGAAATGTGCGAATCTCGTGACCCCGGGACGGTATAATATATTGTGGACCTCTTCAAGTCTTTCCGTTCCACCATTGTTAGCACAAAGGTTACGACAGAGAGTATCGGCAATGCTATTATCCGTTCCAGGTCTATAGACGACGTCGTAGTTGTACCCTGCCAATTCGATTTTCCACCGTTCAATCTTGTCGTTCTTTATTTTATTTTTTCTGTTGGTTCCCATACATAAAGGCGACCGAACGTTGATCCGTAATCATTTTAAAATACCTCCCTAGCAGATAGTGGCGCCATTTGCGGATCGCTTTGACGATAGCGTATGCTTTTTTTGACAGCAGAATGATTTTTCTCGCTTGCAGTGTAAAGTCCTGGAGAAAAAAGCGACCGGCCGGTTACCCATTGCTCAGGTATGCACCAATGGGGATGTCGGACGCATCAGTTTCGATGAGAGGAATATTGTAGTCGACAGTAACCACCATTGCATTCTCTAGTTCGTGTTTAAGGTTCTCGAGTGCTGTTTGGACATTCTTACGAAGCGGAAATATTTTGTCAGAAAACGCCGGTATCCACTGTGAATAGTAGGCGAACAGGCCAACGGGTCTCGGCTGCCATTTCCCGTTCTGTGGAATTGGGAGCTGTCTTTTAGAGCTCATGTGTTCTGGGTCAGGTTTCATAATACCTTTTGAGACCATGTAACCCAAGAGAGTAATCTCTTCAGTTGCGAAACTGCTTTTTGTATCGTTCAAAATAATATTGTATGTTTTAGCCACATCGAGAGCGTGCCTAAGATTACGGTCGTGTTCATCTCTCGTTTTGCCGCATACAGTAACGTTATCGATGTAGGCGAGTGTGTCTTTGACCTGTTCGGTTTTGATTATATTGTTTAGCGTTCGTTGAAAACACGTGACCCCGTTTGTCACTCAAAAAGAAATGCGCCGAAATCGGTATAGGTTCCCGGCGGCTTCGAATGCTGTGAATGACTTGTCTGACTCGATTATTGGAACCTGATTATATGCACTCTGGAGATCCAGTGCACTGTAGACGGTATAGCGTGCGATGACTTCAATCATTTGGTCGAGTCTTGGTAAGGGATAAACATCAAGGTGGGTGAAGCGATTGATGGTCTGGCTGTAGTCTATCACCATAGTCCCTTGTGATTCGAATTGCGCGTGACGAACACTTGTGCTCTCCATGAAAAATCTGATGGTTCGATTATGCCATCGATGAGCATTCGGTCCACTTCGGTTTGTGTGAATTGTTCGTTTTCCAGTGTATGACAGCGAGATGTCGTAGTGATCAGTTTGTAATTCTCAGCAAGATTGGTTAATGAGGATGGAGATTCCAGTTTTGCGGATGTTACGCCACATACATTTTGAGTGCCCCATTGGCCACCAAATGGAATTTCGACTTTATTATGTAACCCCAGAAAATCTTCTGAGAAGGCCGTCTGCACAGAGGTTCGGTAATACTCAAAGTTTGAACCATTCGTATGTAGCATCCTTGTACTGAAGGTACACAAGGCACAAGGTACACAAGGTGGAACACGAATGTATCGTCGATGCCATTGTTATCAGACAATCGTACGGAGATAGTTTCCAGTTGTGAGTTTGTAGGATTGATGATGAAACGAAACTTCTGGAGCTGCCGGTATCGATAAGAGCTCGGACAACAACGCCGTCGACCAGAACATCAGTTGTAGTTTTGGATAGGCAATTAGGAGCAGCAGCACAGAATAGCGAAGAAGTTAAGGAGCATTGACCTGAGCCCGCGTGATATTTCGAGGTTTGGGACCTATAGACGCGTTGAAAATGTCCAATTCTTCCATAACTGCACACTGGTTCTTTGGTTGGACACAAACTGTTGTTTCGGAATTAACAAAGAAGTAGACTGAACAAATGACGTTTTGTCTGTATACGTATGATTGTGAGTGTTTTTGTGCAAGTATGAGAGCTCGTATAGCCTCGTGGGCTTTGTCAAGGTCCAATTCATGCCAGGTTAGCAGTTTCTCCCGAATGGTATTCGACTGCAGTCCGGTTATCAAGAAATTCCGAACTGCTTCGTTTGCATTTTCCATAGCAGATACTGCTTTGAATTCACAGTGTTTAGCAAGTGACTTCAGTTTTTTATTGAACTGGTCGACATCTTGACCAGGTTTTTCTCTGTATGTAGCTAGAAGATGGCGTGCATACGCGATATTTTTCGGGCGAATGTAAAGTTTTTCCAGCAAGGTTATCGCAGAATCATAGTCGCTACATTTTGCAATGAAGTCATACACTGTATGGTCAGTGTGACGTATGAGAGTTTCCAATTTATTTAGACCTTCAGGTTTGATTGAGTCAATGTAAACTTTAAAGTTACGGAACCAATGAGTCCGTCGTTTCATGCCATCTGATGAGTGAGAATCAGCATCAAAAATAGTGGGTCGGAGAATATGATCCATTTCTTTTTTAGTTGTTACGAGAGTCGAGTAGTTCCAGGACGAGTTCGGAAGGAAGACAGTATAGAAGGGTGTAACGTACGCCTTAATCTTCTAATAACGGCAGTGAGCTGAAAATATGGTGAGAATTGCGAGTTAATGATCTATGCAAAGGTATGGTTTATATAGTCATGACAACTGAGCTATTCGGAGCTCGATAATATTACACTATAGTGTTATAGCCGCCAAGCGAGACAAATGGCACTTTATCTCTTGATACGGAATACCAGGTAATGGCAAGTTGGATTAATGCAGCCATCATGGTCCATGTTGAAGACTTGGTATATCGGCAGGTTCTAAATTTCAACCAGAATATCGGTCTTATTGCTCACTAGTTTCAGGGAGTTAATTCTAATGTACACCAAGGTGATTCTTATGCATAATTTGCATTTCTGGAACCAAAATGAACACGGTTTCGCTCTAAAAGTATGACATCTATTTGGGTGTTTGTTAGTAACCATTTCACCCGGGCATTTGGGCGCTAGCTGGTCTCTAATTACCGCACCAGTTAGCAGTGCTCTCCCTCTTGAGCATCCACTTGTGCGTTCAGCTGTAGCACCCTTTCGGTGCCTAGCTGCCATGCCACCCGCAGGAAGCACGAGGGCTGGGATACTGCCAGGTTACCCAAGCCTAGACAGGGGAAGTCGAGTGGCGGAGGTCGGATTCGAACCACGGACCTTCTGGTCAGTAAATTCGCGCTCTAACCACTTGGGCCATCTCGCATCCACTTGTAGTAAGTTTTAGTTCGGTTCAAAATCCGGTTTTGACGGATCACTTCCTTAGTCCTTACAATGACCAACTATCCACTCATTTTTGAGCCCCTTCACCCACAAGGACCGATACAGCATGATATGAAGGGCTTACGGATCTTTTTTAAGTAGAGAAATCGTGCCCACCATATACGTGTAGAATGACGGCTTGCACGAGCAGCAGGGTGATAACCCTGAACAAAAAGGGCGTGCCAATACAATACCACAGCATTGGTTACACGGCGTGCCAATACAATACCACAGCATTGGTGACTTCATATCAACCCTCGCTGGTGCTGGTATCAGCCCCTAACTTTAACCCAGGAGCTATCCCAAGTCAATACTAGGGTTGCGTGCAACTATGTTGACGCAGTCGTGGTTTATCTACTTACGCAGAGGTGTTGCGCAAATCTGTGAGCACTCGGAACCAGGGTTCTAGATCGAACTAACCCTAACACGGTGAGTTTAGTGTTACGTGATTCCTTGGACCGTTCCTAATAAGGTAGCCATTCATCTACGGCTTAATTTGGGGGGAGACTCGGGAACCGGACATACCTGAGAATTTCTGGGTCCAAGTTTTTTGCATTGTAATTACATGAAATGGGTTTGATCATTCTTTGTGCAGCTGATTGCTCTAGTTTTTGCGTTGATATGACTGCCAGCTGGTGTTCATTCTCTTACACTGTTAGACTACGTAAATCTGTTCGAACATTCGGGAATTGGTATCCTTGCCACCTTCACTCGAATACGTCCATTTTCGTTTTGATTCCTAGGATTTTATCGATTCCCGCTTTTGTTTAATTTGTATGCCAATTTTTATTTATTTTCCCGACAGGAAGTCGCCGTTAAAATGGAGAACATGTACGCCAAGCATCCACAGCTACAATTCGAGCATAAGGTTTATCGTATGCTCGCCGGCGCGATTGGAATTCCTCAAGCCAAGTGAGCGCATTTGTGCTAGTTACTCACGTCCTAGATGGTATGGTTCCGTCCGGACATACTGGGTCTTGGTAATGGACTTGCTTGGCCCTAGTTTGGAGGATTTGTTCACCTTCTGCTGCCGGCGCTTTACCATGAAGACCGTTTTGATGCTTGCGGATCAAATGCTTGCTCGTATAGAGCATGTTCACAACAAAAACCTCATACATCGTGATATTAAACCAGATAACTTTCTCATGGGCATTGGCCGTCACTGTAACAAGGTTTATATAATCGACTTTGGGCTCGCTAAACGATTCCGCGATGCTCGTTCCGGTCGACACATTGGATATAGGTTTGTTGTTCCTCGTTGGGTGGCATTTTCTTCATAGGGAAGATAAAAACCTCACCGGTACAGCTCGCTACGCGAGCATTAATGCCCACCTTGGGATCGAACAATCTCGGCGGGATGACCTGGAATCACTTGGTTACGTCTTGATGTATTTTAACCGTGGCTCTCTTCCTTGGCAAGGATTACGGGTGAGTCCATGGCTTTCCATACACTCCTATTTCTATTATCACATTGCTTTACGACCATCGTGATTTTATGCTCTTCTATGTTCACTCCCTGGTTATTGCAACTAGGCTCACTTCAGATGTGATAAAAATGGACAAAGTTAGATAACAGAGATTACGAAATGTTTTTGGCGCTGCCAATTCCACTCACCTATGGGGATGGGGACCGCGTGATCCCCTTTGCGCCTTGTTGGATATAATGCAAGATATGGCTACTAATCAATGTCTATGGCATTCGTGCTGACGGTTTCTCTCCAGGTTGCCTGAATGAGTGTCTTTAGGTATAGATACCTGGGAATGATTGTAGTAAGGTACCGATAAGCCCCTTCCTTGTTCACCTTTTTTCTTCACAATAAGGCTTTTAAATAGATCAGGATTATATGGCAGCGAAGCATCAGTGTTGAATAGTCATTTCATGCTGCCCATGGTGATGATGATAGATGACCGCCCATCTTGTTGCTGTAAGCTAACCGTGACAGTGTCTAAGGTTTGAATTTCGATCATAATAATCAAGGACTACACGTGCTCTGTTGAGCATATCGTCGTACAAAATGGACCTGGTACTGTACTCCATTTTGTAAGCAGTGAGGCTATCTGTCAGTAGAAAACTGGGAACTGAGTCACCTACAGAATACAGGCTTTCGGTACTCAAATGTTTGATGTTCTTCACTAGAAACAGGCGAATTAGGCATCTTTTGTTCGAAACGTTGTTTAGCACTTACTATCTTCTAGTACCCTATTCCGTTTCTATTCACAACTGGAAGAACGTACTAAGATTTGGTGAGAAGGCACCACGGGGAATGGTGCCTTCTGTATAACTGTAGCTGACGGGTCCCTTCATGGGACCACCGTGAAAGCGATTGCACGCCTGGTTGTAACTGACAGAGAACGGTGCTTTTGTCCTTCCTGGCCAGGATTTTTCTACGGAGTCTTTGTATCTAAACCCAGTAACCCTGAAACTGTGGTCAGATACCTGGTCGCTGCGCGCTGAGGACCATCTATGCCTTCGGAGCATTGCTCAAGTCTTGCTTGAACATCAGATCAGTAATGCTGATGTAGTCGAATGGTTTTCGGAAGAAATAACCCCCACGATAGATGAATCGATCACATTCTACAGGTTGATCTGGCCACGTTCGCCGTATACCAGTCGAGCGACTTTCTCGGAAGGCTCTTTTCTCAGAACCACGTGAAGGGTTGAAGCGAGCCAGGGGAGGTCAAACAATGACTTGGCAGTGGAGTATGACAGTCATTAGCAAACTCAGCTGCGCTGGTGATTGCGGTCCTCTGGAATGGGGACCCCGAGAAGGGACACATCAATGGTTGGAGACATTGTCAGACATAGCCCCAATGGCGCTCGTATATCCACACTACTGTCTCCAATGCGTAGCTCTCCTCCCAATCTCCCCAATGAAAAGCTGCTGACACCCTTGTGTTTACACCTCAGTTATATCAGCTACCGCCTCCAATGTACAGCTATCTACCTCACCTCCCCAAATCATCGGTGAGCGAAACTGTGGCAGCTCAAACCTTTGTACCTTAAGTACGCGGTTGTTACAGCTGCTGCTGCTGATGGTCCTGTCATTCCGTTGAGTGGAAGTGTCTGTGCTTGGCGAGATGCCTTTGGTTCATTTCGAAAGTTTGGAATAATTACGAGGTTTGCAGCCTCTTGTTTGCCGTGTCTGGTTATGCCCCAGTGGGATGGTTCTAAACCTTTTCTAGGTGATCTTTGCAAATGGGTGACCGGTGGGATTTCGCTCGGGTTGAGGCTGCAGGGATCACACCACCATACGCCATAGGCATAAGTGTGAATTATGTTGCCACGGGGTGGATAAGGTGTACTGAATGATGAGGCTAGTCAAGGAAGTTGACACTTGGTGACTTGCCGCATGACGTAGGGTTCAGTTTGTTTTATTTCTATGTCACTGCTGTGGTTGCTCACAATACTCATGGACACATCCTGTTGGTGGATTTTGAGCAACAACGCAGCAACCCTTCGGCCGGAGAAACTAACTTGTGTGTCGTTTGTGCCAGAGATTTTTCGGTGTAGAACCATGCTGCCGTTATCACAAGTGCCACTGTGGTGGGAATGAACTTAGACTTTGTTGACCTGTGATGCAGCTCTATCATGACTGCTAGACCGCTGGCATGTCGTGTCGGGGCCGGCAACTGGGCAAAGTTTGGGGCATAAGCCGCGCTCGAAACTATAGGTATCTTTTGTCCTCTCATTTGGCTGCTGCTGGGCTCCCCAGGCGTTAGTTCAGCTAATGGGAGGAAGCCAAAACATCGCTGATTGGCCGTCGTTAACCGCATCAATATCCTCGATCTCAGTGGGTAAAAGTGACGTGGTGGTTGCACTGACATTTCTATATCCGCCTTTTTCGTTGTGATCATCCTCAGAGCACAATCCTGGTTGACTAAATCTGACACGTTCGATCCCGTAATTCCTTTCAATGAAAATGCCTACCTAGCGGTTTTTTAGCTCACCAAACTCTTTATCAGGTTAACCCAGTTTTGGGCGTGATTGCTCAGTAGTTAAAGCCCAGATTTATTGACCAGAAGGCCTGTGGTTCGAACCCGACCTCTGCATCTCAATTTCCTCTGTCTAGGCTTGGGCAACCTGGCAGTATCCAAGCCCTCGTGCTCTCTCCGGGTGACTTGTCAGCCAGGCACCAAAGGGGTATTACAGCTGAACAGTTATTATTATCATTATCCCTATATTAAACTGAGCTATATTCGGCGGCTCATCAACGCCAGTTGCACACTGTACGGGCGATTGCTTCGACTTGGTGTTCGTAGTCTGGTGTCAAATATACCAAGTTGGTGACTGAGTTCACGATGCCTGTCGGACATTTTGGTTTTGATTACAACTTCTGCCAACTGTAGCAGGTAGAATGAACGTACTCTTGATACATGGTTAATGTATCATAATTGAACTGAATTAAGCTTGTGCTAACTGTCGCATCAAAGCCGCGGCGTCACGTTTAGGAGCGTTTCATGCAGAACTTCCAAAGCCCTGCTGCACACCTCTGACATGCTGTGCTTCTACACCGCATGCCTGTACTAACGGAGATCATTTACTTAGCCCGACTGTATATTTTTCTCTTGCTGTTGGTGTGCCCCTGATTTGTACATTTTGTAGGAGCCAAATATTGTAGGGAATAGAATAAATCCATTATGCTAGAACAGCGAGAAAGCCAGGCATGTTGTCTTGCAGCTGTTCGATGTAATCAGTGGAAGTAGCTTGATCAAGCTTAACAGCTTATTTACTTTCCCTTTCAGGCTACGAATAAGCGTCAAAAATACGAAAAAATCAGCGAGAAAAAGATGTCCACATCCGTAGAGGTTTTGTGTAAGGGCTTTCCTCCAGAATTCGCAATGTATCTTAACTATTGCCGAGGTCTCCGTTTCGAGGAAAGTCCGGATTACATGTACTTGCGTCAGCTCTTCCGAATCCTCTTTCGCACAATGAGTCACCAGTTCGACTATGTGTTCGATTGGACAATGCTGAAACAACGGACCGCTGCGACTTCATCCTCAGCTACTGCGGATCCGAATTACGAAGATCCAAGTGCACAAACACGCCAACAAGCGGCGCTCCCAGAACCGAACGCAACCAACAAGGCAGAGGAGAGTGAGCAGAAGGAAGAGTCTGGGGGACAAGGGAATAGACGAAAGCTCTTTTAGATATTCAGACCCTACCTCACTTCACCCCATCAGCTGATTAGTGCACATGGTCACTCAATCGCTGTCGACTTCTTTCGCTGGGTTCTGTGGACGTTGTCACCTCGGCTGTCGATTCAATTTTGAATCCTCCTGTGCATAGTATGTTATTCCCGGGACGCATCCAAACCCCTTTCCATCGTCCTTGGCAAACGAATACGTTGTTTGATCGGTTAACCGTTTACGTCTTTCGTTTTTTTCCCAGCTACACCTGCCCCAAGTCTTGTCCTAATGCCGTGGCATTTCATATGTTTACGGCTGAGAAATTTGAATTAGCTTTCTGTGGGATTGACTATTTTGTATCGATTTCGACTACTCGCACTACGCCTATCCATACGTCCATCCGTACACCCTGTTGTTTGCGGATTTTTACGATTATGTACATATGCTGACTGAGTGAAGGGGTTAACACACCATACCACTATTACCATCCCAATGACCCGCACAATGCTAACCAGCTCCCTGCACTCTTTGGCCAAATGACTTTATGGAAGTGATCTTCTTTTGGTACCTATCACAACGGCCAGCCTCGGTTTGTTTTGGGGGTCATTTCTATAGTCCCAACATCTTTCTACACGCACTGGACTTACTCCCGTGTTCCGTTTTCGCTTCGACGTATTTTGATTTTGCGCACTAGTTCGCCAGTATATTGGCGTCGATTATCAGTCAATCGAATGCCACCAGCGGTGTCTCTAGTTTTTCACTTGGAGCGCTCAGCAACGTCATCAGTGTGATGGAATATGCCTGAATAATAGTGTCCCAACTGCTTCGCTGAATCCACCTTTTCAGTCTACCTTTAACTTGAACTCTGCCCTCTTTAGGACCAACCGGAGGTCTGGCATGATGCAGTACGCCGTGGTTTGATTGCATGTGCGTATGCTAATTGAACCACTGGTTTTCTCTTGATATTGTTTTGCCCATGCTCCGCACAGTACTCTGTGGTTTGTTATGATGTCGAACGCTAGGCAAAAGCTTGTAATCTTGACCTTCGCAAATGAGGGAAACTTCTTCACACAGCACATTGGCCGTCAGACAATATTTTGATGGCTTGTAAATTAAACTTTGAAGTTTTATCACTGCAGCTTTTTTGAACAAGTAATTTGTCTCTATAGTCGGATCATCGGGCCGGTTTATTCGGGGACAAGCACTCGATAGCCAACATTTTAATCACGACACCGAGGTCCTTACGTTGGGCTCTGTTTTTACCTTTCTCGTAAAAGGGCTTCCCAAAGGAAGATTAGGAGACTAGTTGTATTCAGACCAATGGTATGTTGGTGAGGACTTCACCTTATGGCACGAATGACATGTTAGTTCATTTTAACGGCACGTTCGTCCAGGATAAATAATCGATTTCGTAGGTGAATCTTCATGCTGATATCATGTTGGTCACAACAAAGAAAGGACATGATGGGGACCATAAATAGTTATGCAGTACGCTTGCTAGAATGGAGCACATCTGATCACACTAGGGAAGTTTTGTGTTAAATATTTGTGATGTACTACTCATAAGGTCAGCCCACGGTTCGCCCTTTTTGGGGCTCATCAGGTAGGTGCAGTCCCCGGGTTTCCGTCAACCTTATGTTCTACTTGAAACCAAATTGCATTGCACTGGCGAATATACACTCATTCGAGTGACACCTGGAACCCAGCTGAACCTCTCGTTTGTGATGTTTCCAGGCAACTGAATGTGCTGCACCAGGCCGCCTCATGTTTCAGTCGCTACGATGTTCTAGGTATCGCGATACATGTGAGTATTTGTGATGTACTACTCATAAGCTTTTTTTTACATATTTACATATTCATATATATTTATTTTTAATTTATTACGTTTGTTTATTTTTATTCATTCACTCATTCATTTTTTATTTTTATTCTATTCATTTATTATATATATTTATATATTTACATGTATCGCGATATCTCGAATGTCGTAGGGACTGAAACATGAGGCGACCTGGTGCAGCACATTCAGTTGCCTGGAGACATCACAAACGAGAGATCCAAC